GACTACAGGACCAGTGCCAATTTCTACCACTGCGGCCATCAAAATTGTAATTGAAGTCCTGAGAAGTGTGTGTCTTTGCATCATCATACTTTCTGTATCATAGGGCAACGCTGTCAGGAGCCTCAGTGACTAAGTCAAGCACTTTTCTTGTCGCGATGTTGATTAGGCTAGCCTGATCATATGTATTCATCCAATCATGAACGCGATGTTGATTAGGCTAGCCAGATCATATGTATTCATCCAATCATGAACGCGACGTTGATTAGACTAGCCAGATCATATGTATTCATCCAATCATGAACGCGATGTTGATTAGGCTAGCCAGATCATATGTATTCATCCAATCATGAACGCGATGTTGATTAGACTAGCCAGATCATATGTATTCATCCAATCATGAACGCGATGTTGATTAGGCTAGCCAGATCATATGTATTCATCCAATCATGAACGGGATGTTGATTAGGCTAGCCAGATCATATGTATTCATCCAATCATGAACGCGATGTTGATTAGGCTAGCCAGATCATATGTATTCATCCAATCATGAACGCGATGTTGATTAGGCTAGCCAGATCATATGTATTCATCCAATCATGAACGCGATGTTGATTAGGCTAGCCAGATCATATGTATTCATCCAATCATGAACGCGATGTTGATTAGGCTAGCCAGATCATATGTATTCATCCAATCATGAACGCGATGTTGATTAGGCTAGCCAGATCATATGTATTCATCCAATCATGAACGGTATTGCTTTGGTTTGTTGTTATGGTTTATCTGCCAGTAATGTTGATTTGAGAGCACATGGCATTAGCAATTTGTGTTTTGTTTTATGGACTTTTTGACATTTGACATTGACTTATTACATTTCTTGGGTCCAAGTCATTGAACTGTAGTCCTGCTCTTTGTGTTAAAATCACTGCATGTTATTTAGTGTTGTGTGCCTTTATTTTTTTCCATGTAATATGCAAAATTGTTAACTTATTTTATATATACAGTGCCAGTATGTAAAATGTATGCGTCATGGTCTACATCTGGAAACGCTCACCATTTAAAGCTGTAGGTTCTTAAATGTATATTAAGTGTAACATATCAATCATTCTATGAGTAAAGGTGTCCCAATAATATCATAGATAAGAAACCGTATTAGATGTCATATTTATAATTAAAGTATAACTAGCAAACACGACATCGTTTACTCATCTTTCTGGTATCCCTGATTAACAATTTTCATTCTATTTTGTCAATAAGTACGGCATATGTTTGGTTTTGTTTTGGTTTGTTGTTTAACGCTGCACTCAGCAATATTCCAGCTATATGATGGCTTGGTGTAAATAATTGAGTCTGGACCAGACAATCCAGTGATTGACATCATGAGCATCTATCTACGCAATTGGGATTCAATGACATGCATCAACCAAGTCAGCAAGCCTGACCACCTGACTGTTAGTCGCCTCTTACGACAAGCATAGTCGCTTTTCACGGCAAGCATGGGTTATTTGGGCACCGAGTTACATACAAAATAATTGTTGAGTGATCCAGCAGAAAAGTGTTTACTTTAAATGTCACACTAGACACAGTTTTAGATGTAATTATTATCATAATTGCAAATATAACATGAGTCACCAAATATGATAAAATTGATATTAAATGAATACCAGCCCAGGCACCAAGATTGCAAATCGCTGTCTTGGTTGCAGACTTCACTTAATAGGATATTTCTTCAAGTAATTTAGAAACAAGGCAACATAATACACTGTGGTTTTCTTCATCTGTAGATGCTTGGGGATGATATTATGCAGTGGTCTAAACTAAACAAGAGATACCCTTATGTACTAGTGAACGATTTAGGGGGTCCCAGGATTCAAATTATGCTGCAGCAGCAATTCTCAAGGAGCCCTGGGCCCCCTGTATTTTGAACACTGCTTTGATGTAGGATAGAGTCTTTGGCAGCGAGGTAGGTGGGGTGAAAAGCTTGTAATTAATTTACCAAGGCTTAGTATAGTTTGCTGCAAAGTTATTCGTGGAATTACATGACTCTTTATTCTTGGTATCCGCCATATTTGCCATAATTCTTGGACATAGTTTCAGGTGGAGGTAGCTAAAAATGCTGAATATATTTGTTTTGGTGACCTCAAGGTTACACACAACCAAATGTTTTCCCATAGACTTCTATAGTAACGTTATATTTTTTTTAAAAATAACTAAGCATTCAACAGCTATTATCTGTACGTGTGTGCACAGTTTGGCCTTAGAGCAGCAATAAAAAAATAAAAAATGACTAGCTTAGCCAGCTCCTTTTCCGAGTACCGGAAGCTAAACACATCACCCCCAGTTTCACACCAAATGTCACCTACTTGAAAATAGCTGTGGTCACATTCAGCATAAGTCATCATGTTGAAAAAGACAGTACTAAATATAGAAAAACATGGTCAGTTTTAATAACTGGATGGATGTACATTTGAAAGACATAAAAATCTTACACTAGTTACAGAATATCCTCCAATCACAGCCTGCAGATATCTCTCGATCTGCCCTGAGGGCTCCCTACGAAAACCGCACTGTCCAAACTGGTACTGATTTGGTGTAGTAGAACCTCAAGTGCATTTTTGCATTTAGATTTTTTACCTGATCTGATTTCTTTAGCTTCATTTTTTTCCCCCATTAGTTTGGTTTGTCTGCATATTTGACATCTGTTCTGAAAACACTGGATATGTAAAGATGAAATTGTGTGTATATGAATTATGATCACAGCATTTGTGTCTGTGTCACATACCCTTAGAACTCCAATGCACAATGATTGCTATAAATGTGGTCTATGCTGATTTTAGTCGGTCTTTGACGGTTAAAAAGGTACATGACCATTATAAATGACAGTTATTTTCTTGTTGTACTATTATTGCACAAAAACAAGAGACACATTACCAGTAGCCCACATCGAACATAACAGCCAGCCAGATAACTAATATTGATGTGTCCATCATCAAATGGAGTTATTGGCCTATAGTCCGTAGTCAATGCCAAGATTTTTTAAGATTTGATTTACGAATCAGCTGACTGTGAAATTTTAAATATTTTTAAAAAGCAGTGAGTTTTTAATTGTGTTGACCAGAAATAAGTAAAATATTGGGAAAAAATCTTTTGTACTGTCACTATCAATATAAATAAATAAATAAAATTACTATGAGGGGGCATGGGTGGCCCAGTCGTCTAAGGCGCCGCGATTCGCTGTGCAGAGTTGCGTCCCTTGGGCATGCCAGAAACCTATGATTGTGGGTTTGAATCCCGGTTCGCCCCGATTATGTTTCTAGCTTTGTCAGCACCATACCCGTGCTCGTGGGTTTCACCGAAGTGGTAAACGTCTGAGACCTGCATCACTTCGGGCTTTCCACCCACATTAAGCTGACACGCTGCGATATAACTGGAATACTGTTAAAAGCTGCGTTAAACCCAACTCACTCACTCACTAAATTACTATGATTCAAACCTTCAATTGTTTGATAAAAACAATGACTGACTGACAAAGAAGCTCGACAGATCTGTGTCTATGAAGGGAGGGAGATAGCTCATAACTTGCTTCTTTCCCCATTTCTTGAGCCACTTTTTCTTCACTTGTTACCTATAAGATCCAGAGATGTACCTTAAAGGGGAAGTGTACACGCAAAAATCACTTTCTTTCTTTTTCTAAACAAAACGTAATTTTAGAATTAATTAGTATCTGTGTTTGAAAATATACACACATTTTTTTCACAGTGAACGTAGGAAGCTCACAATAGTGTGAAAATGATATGCCGTTATGAGGCCTTCGTTTTTCGAGCTAAACAGGCCTGAGTTATCCCCCTTAGATTATGATGTAATTGGTGCCAATTCAACTGGGTCCCTGTCTATTCTCAACGCAAAAGATATCAAGTACCAGTTTGCGGTAAAACACCATGGCCTACGACACACTCCGGCGCAGTGGTGACTCAGCATAACACTATGCTGGCTGGCATCTGAGACGCTAGAATCACACACCTGGACCTACACTACGTGAAGCGGCTCTAACAAAGCATGATGACGTCATAATGTTTATCAATTGGCACCAATGACGTCATATTGCAAGGGGCATAAGCCATGGTGTTTTTGTTGTGGAAATAGAACACTTGGTAAATGTGAAAAATATAAATCGTTTTAATGCGAAAAATATGTTAATTAATTGTGATATTTTTATATTTTTGTCTTTGACACTTCTAGGTTAACACTTTTAATGTGGAAAAAGTACAAGAAAAATAGTTTCATTTCCGTGTGAACTTGCCCTTTAACCATAAATATTTGCTAGCCCTTATAGAATTGATATAACTTGGACACCCTGTAATACCTTTAGCACAGCATTAGAAATTGGCACTAGTCATTTTGTCCCTGCCAAACTGCGCAAAAGTTAAGGTATTTCATAAGGACTTAGTACCATAGACATTTGCCATTTTTAAGGGTTTTGCTATATGTTATTGTTTTCATGAGAAGGACTAGTGGACTAAAACTTTCTATCGCTGTTAACAGTAGACAAATGAATTATTCCAAGTAGATCACTGAAAGAGGTTAACACTACACATCACAAAAAGCATTCTCGTAAGAAACAGATCTTTATCTCCGATTTGTTATCTTTGTCTGTCAAGATCTGACCAGCACTCCCTAGGAGGTCATGTCAGGTGAACTTTCCAATTAACCAATCGATGTGGAGGTGGATGTGGAATTCTTGGCACAAGCCAAGGAAGCATTTGGAGCAGCATATCTGACATCTCTCTCTCAAAAACGAACATAGACGGAGGGTTCCAAATGGTAAATGATAATTACCCCCATAACAGTTTGTTTAGCAGTGTTTCATTTCCCAAGAAACAAATGCTATTTAATGATGTGACAGCGCAATTCCAAGTTCTAGGGTTGATGAATAATAATATGAAAGTCACTCCCTGAAAATAAAAAAGTCTTCCATTCCAACTATTCTGTCCTCTTTTCAGAACTGAGAAATCCACGGACCAAGTGATCAAGCCGGTTAACGTTGAAGCACTGACCAAATGGGTGGGCAGTATTCCGGATGACGTTGTACATGATATGGCCTCGGTGGCCCCAATGCTAAAAACTCTAGGCTACGATCCAGAAGCCAACCCACCGGACTACGGAAAGCCAGACCCTCAAGTTTCTGACAACACGCTACATTTACAACAGAATAAAGATCTGTGGCAAAAACGTGAAAAGGACATCTTTGACAAATTAGAAGAAAGCAAAGGCAAAGAGCCTCAAAATAGACATTCACCCAACTTGACTGTGCACTGATCACATGGGTACTTAACGGTATTATGAATGTGTAAATGATTATGAATACTGTCTCAAAGATCATCCTTTTACAGTCAATCTCTGTATACACTTTGCAGCATACGAAAATTAAGCCTGAAAGTCAAGGGGTCCTTGTCATTACCCCAATGTTAAATGTTACACAGTTAGGGGGTCCCACAATGCAAATGCTATTGGAGCAAACACAAGGACCCCAGGACGCCCTTAGTTTTGAATATAGTATTTGTATTAATCTGGATAATGTTAGACACACTGAACCACTGATTTCCAATGTCATCTAGGGTTAAATGATCAGCATTGGCATGTGAGAACCATTAATATTGTCGTTCATTATTCTAAAGGGTTATCTTCTGTGACAGAAGCTGGGCTGTGTTATACTGTTCATAGGTCATCCATATTATTTTGTGTGTTGTCATCCCCATGCTATGCCAGGAATCGGTGTGGGCAGGGGAGTAAAAATATAAAATTTAGAATTTAAGAATCTGACTTTGATTGAGAATGCAACAAAGTTGTCTGTTTTGTAAGATGGGTGCCAAAATATTTCCATAGTTAAAAACAAGTTACAAATCTTTGTCAGTTTCCAAAAGTGCCTGTGTTCAGTAACTCACAGTACCCTTACCTTGCTCTATTCTTTGTGTAAAGATAGCTGTATTGCTGTTGAAATGCAAGAGGTTGAAATAATTTAAAAAAAGCTTGAGCAAAAGGCAGAATGACCTTATTAAATAATATGAGCATTTCAAGGAGACCTTTTCATTGCCCTCATGTTGAACATTTAAGGTTTAAGGGGTCTGAAGGTTTGGCCTACAGCAACAGACCTATAAGACCCAAGGATCCCTAATTTGAAACACAGCGATAGAATACAAACTGTAATAAAGAAACCATTTTTTGATGTTTGCATTATTACCTGTTGGATTTTAATTGTTTTCCCAGTTGGGGTTGATATTGGTTGTTCTATACAGAAAGCACTCATTCAAATATTGATAGTGTTTTGATGTGATACAACTCTTAAAAACTGATGAATCGCAACAGCTGCTAAGAATAGCATGTTAAGAGCCTGTATTCCTGTGGGTCATTACAATATTAACAATGTGCACAGTCTTAAGAACAGCTGTTTGATATTTCAGTAGAAACAGTAGTAAATGAAGCAGTCATCATTTTACTAGTGAACTGTTCTAAAAAGTAAAATTATATTCTGATAATTGTGGAACATGCAATCTCACACTAATATAGTTACAACAAATATCCCGGTAACCAAAGTTTACAAAGAGATGACTGAGAAACATTTGATTGTAATTTTTCAGCCTTGTCTTGAGTTGACTGGAGGGACAAGGAAAGATATGAGTGCTTTTTGGCTCAATAAAGACACAAGGGGAGCTTTTGGAAACCATTGAAACATCTTGAAAATGTTCAAGTGATTGATATAAAGCAGTTTGTCTTGTCATTCTTAGTCATACAGGGACGGTCGGGTAGCCTAGTGGTTAAAGCGTTCGCTCGTCACGCCGAAGACCCGGGTTCGATTCCCGACATGGGTACATTGTGTGAAGCCCATTTCTGGTGTACCCCGCCGTGATATTGCTGGAATATTGCTAAAAGCGGCGTAAAACAATACTCACTCACTCACTCACTTAGTCATACATCATTGACGAGTTGTGGCAACAGAAAATAAAAAAGGCCAATTTTTCTTTGGGATGAAATTTGACCATGAGCAATAAGTGACCTCAAAATGAAATTTTCACCAACTGTCTGGAGAGTTTTCCACAAACAATTAGCTTGGGTCACAATCTCATTGAAATCAGATCTTAGTTTTCGCTACCGCTAAACAAAGATCTGAGGACATCCCATTACGGGTCACGTCAGAACAACTTTTCCCGAATTTTGACCGACCAGTGACATGACTGACAAGAAATCGACATTAGTTAATCAGAAGGCAGCTTTCTTGAGACACTAATTTCAAACAGACGACTACGCTTTGAAACATATTTTGACGTATTCACGATTAAAAATTTTAAAACTGATAAGAAGAACATTCTGGAATGGCTTATAGATGGCACAGATTGTATGGATATAATCATAAAACCTGTAACTGTCGTTCGGAATACCTTGTGTTAAATATATCGGGGGTTGCATGATTAGAAAACACATTGCGACTGTCACTTTCATGATCTGGTAAGCGACGCTCTGATTGGTTGGATGAAAGGTCGTTCTGACGTGACCCCTAATGGGATGTCCTCAGATCTTTGTTTAGCAGTAGCGAGAACTAAGATCTGATTTTAATGAGATTGCTTGGGTCAACGATTTGAGTTAAAACACACCAAAACACTCTCCCTAAAAGTATAGTGGCCCTTTTCACACATTTTAGTCATAACCCTGGACTTAATACCATTATTAGTTGAAAGTGTAAGTCGAACAAATTCTAGGTGTTAGACATGTCATCTCTTTTAAATGATTTTAAGAAGAAAGTCTTCATCTTTTCTAAATAAGATTAACGTGTTTCTTCAAGTGGACCAAAAAGAACCCTTATCAAAACCTTGTCTAAAAAGGATGAGTTAGCATTAAGATGTTAGTATATGGGTTAACATAAGAATTTAAAGGTTTAAGAACATTTTGGGAGGAATTTGGCCATTCAGTCATGTCTATCAGAAACAGTTTTTGACTGATAATTTTCTGTTTTATTGAGATATAAAGGCTATTGGGTATCAGTACAAAGGGCATAAAAAGAGCTTTCATTTGATGTCTCATGCCTATGTGTCACAACATCAAAGACAGTTATTTTATGTGGATTACAAATGGTGGCCAAGTTCGTGGAAAAAATGGCAACGTCAGTTTTCTTAATCAGTGATGTTTTTTGATGGTTTTAAACCTTGTTGCCAAGATTCTACCAAAAAGTATATTTCCTTTACATTAGCCATTATACTAATTTGCTAATACTTGAACATGAACAAGTCTTTGATCCAGGCTGAGTTTCAGATGAGATGTAGATAAAACCTTCATGTTGGATCATGGACATGCTCATGCTTAGATTTTCACTTGAAGTTTGAAAAATGTACCTTTCCCACTCATTTTACCAATTTCAACATATCTGATAATTTTCAAACCAATATTTCAAAGTTTATCCACAACTTTAAAGTTTGACATTTCCGTGGGCCAAATTGGGCCCTTATCCTTCCTTGTTCTTCATCTTTTTCAGGTTTCCCTGATTCTACCTTCTAATCTATTCTGGATTCCCTCAGCGTCATGTGGGGGCACGGGTGGCCCAGTCGTCTAAGGCGCCGTGATTCGCTGTGCAGAGTTGCGTCCCTTGGGCACGCCAGAAACCTATGATTGTGGGTTCAAATCCCGGTTCGCCCCGATTATGTTTCTAGGTTGGTCAGCACCATACCCGTGCTCGTGGGTTTCACCGAAGTGGTAAACGTCTGAGACCTGCATCACTTCGGGCTTTCCTCCCACATTAAGCTGACACGCCGCGATATAACTGGAATACTGTTAAAAGCGGCGTTAAACCCAACTCACTCACTCACTCACTCACTCACTCAGTGTCATGTATATCATGATATAAAGAGTTTATATCCTGTTAGTATTTTGCTTGTTAGACCAGAAGGCATCTATGGAACTGAATGCAATTGTTACGCTTTTCTCATATATACCTCAACCTGTTGTTGAAATACGGAATTCCATTACTGAAATTTCTTATTGATATTTCATGTTAAAAGCACCATGTGGAGTGTAAACAAGTTTTTTTCAGGATGTTTTGTGTTAACTCCTAAAATGGCTGAACAGTATGCAGCTAGTTTTATACAAAGGTCTTAATGTATTTTGACACTGTTGAATTCATTAACATGAATATTATAAAGATCTTATTTTCAAAATGAGACTGCATGCATACTTTTTTTAGTAATGTAATTTTATCAACATTGACGATTTCTGGCCAGTAACCATGTTAACTATAGAAATGTCATGTCATTTTGAAATGATATATTTTATTGTCATGTAGAAATTAAGTAAATTATTAGAACCATTTATTGATTCATCCTCTTGGTGATAAAAATGTTGTCTGACACAATTATTGCATGTACACCCTTTATAATCCAGTGTATCATCTTTATCCAGTGTATTAGAAATAGCCTTGTCCCATTTGCCATAACATTGGTAAAACTCCCACCTGCCTTGGAATTGTTAAAAATCATAACCTCTACCTCAACATTTTTAAATATGATAACCCCTGCCTCGACATTTTTAAAAATCGTAATCCCTGCGTTAACATTTTTAAAAATGGTAACTCCTGCGTTAACATTTTAAGAAATCGTAACCCCTGCCTTGACATTATGAAAAATAGTAACCCCTGCCTCGACATTTTTAAAAATCGTAACCCCTGCCTCGACATTTTTAAAAATCATAATAACCCCTGCCTCTACATTTAAAAAAAAATCGTAACCCCTTCCTAGACATTTTTAAAAAACATAACCTCTGCCTCGACATTTTTAAGAATCATCGCCCCTGCCTCGACATTTTTAAAACAATCGTAACCCCTTCCTAGACATTTTTAAAAATCATAACCCCTTCCTAGACATTTTTAAAACAATCGTAACCCCTGCCTCAAATTTTTAAACATTCGTAACCCCTGCCTAGACATTTTAAAAAAAGTCGTAAACCCTTCCTAGACGTTTTTAAAAATCATAACCCCTGCCTCAACATTTAAAAAAAAAAATCGTAACCCCTGCGTAGAAGTATTAAAAAAACATTAATGGAATACATTGTACTTGAATATGATGTGGAAGAAGCAACAATTACAAATATTTAAATTTAGGGTTAAGTTTAGGTTTAGGGTTAGAATTTGTAATCACCAGTCTCTTATACAACTAGGAACTTGTGGAATTATAAGCACTTCCTTCACTTGTCTTTATACTGAGGAAAACATTTTATGGCTGTTTATAACAGCGTTTGGGTTTATGTTAATCTATCAAAAGTCTAGTTCAGAGGCCACAATTTTTAATGTAGATATATGCTGTACCTTTTTGGAGAAAAGTATTTTTTTTTTTAATGTTCATTTCAAGCTCTTGTGTGAGATAATTTATGTATTAAGTCAATGATAAGAGGGATGACGGTGTCACTTCCTGAACAAAGCTGTCAAATAGGTCAAGGTACCTATCCTTATAGACTGGAGATATCATACACTGGATCACCGAGGATGGTAACCACTCGGGGCAGACCACCTCTCAACTCTAGCGTGGCTCATTTTGTGTCCTTGTGTCCTGATGGTGTAGATAATTGCCTACATTATAAACCACTGATTACCCTCTGTGATGTGTCAATTACTGCCGTGATATACGTGGGATATTGATCACTGTGGTGTTATACCCCTTTCAGTCAGTCTCTTGACCTTTCATCTGTAGCAGTTTGGTTAAAACTGTCCTGTGCATGCTGTAGATACAGGTTTGAAACCAGGGGTACAATGTGTGAAACCAATAATGGATGTTATTGTAGGATAACACTCTAAGGGACAAAACCCCTTTCACAAGCAGGATTTTCTTTCATAATCAGACATTTATTTTGGTGTTTTCAGAGGGCAATAATCTGCTCAAGGTCAATAAAAATGTGAAAAATTTCAAAATTTGTATTAAGACATTTGCAATTAAGTTTGACCAAAATAATAAAGCATGCATGAAGGAAAATATTCAAAGAACTATCAGTTAATCTGGAGATTTGGAGAACACCACTGTCTTGAGTAATGTTGTACACACTCAGCGACGGCTGACAGTATATCTCAGGGAATAGGCTTGGCGTTTCCACTACTCTCCCTATGAGTGAGTGAGTATGGTTTTACGCTGCTTTTAGCAATATTCCAGCAATAACACTGTGGGGGACACCAGAAATGGGCTTCACACATTGTACCCATGTAGGGAATCGAACCTCTCCCTATGATAGAAACACATAGGCAAAATATCAGAACTTGGATTTACACTCACACAAAGGATACATAAAACTGGGTGAAATTGCTACTGGTGAGTGGGCTTGTGCTAGTTTCTACCTGGGATGTGTATGACACCACTTAAGCTTCAAATTTATGAAACGGGCTTGCAAGTGACATTTTGCCACATTCTTACTTTTGTTGTTTACATTTGGCACCACAAGTTTTACAAATACCAGCATGTTTATCATGTAATCCTCTGTAGGGATAAGGTGATAGAGTAGATGCCCCAAATGGTCCAGGGCTCCATTTCTTGAAGCAACCTTGGCATTATGTCTTTCAAAAGTCTATGTAAGAGTATCAGAGTTACGATCATAGCACCACGATGGTTTTGTTTAAGTGGACCTGGTGATCTGGGTCAGAGATTTGGTTGATGGTGATGGATGCTCCAGATGTGAAGGCCACCCTCGTATAGCTGGAATAATACTTGGTTAAACAAAACCAAACTTATTTCTTTATCTCAGCTTCTGATTATCCCTAGGGTTGAGGACAACAGAACCCATCTTCCCGTGGCAAGGGAGCTACTAGTAACTGACTATAAAAGTCTAGTTTCCACCCTAGACTGGAATTATGGAGTTATATTTTGGCTGGTGTAACGAGTCAAACCAATCAAAATCACTTCACGAAATCAGTCAATTGCAGAATTTTAAAAGCATGTGTACACTGACAACTTAGCGTCAACAGATATTTTCCAAATCTTTTCATGTTTTTAATCAAGTTGTTCACGTGTTTTGATGCACTTCGCGAAGTAAGACCCATTTTACTACAATACAGATCTGGATTATCAATCAGATCGTCTTGACTGGGTGCCACCATTATATTTGAAGCAAATGCAAATGCTATGAGAGGTGGAATCTGATTGGTCAATAGGAGGGACATAGAAGGGCCATAACTCATAAAAGCCACTGGTGGCGCTACGATTGAAACCAGAAATTCCACCCTAGTTCAGCACGGGTGGAAACTGGACTTTTACAGTCAGTTAGCTCCCTTCCAGGGAAGATTACAGAACCCCATTCTTTCATTCTCCAATCAAGGAATTCTGTGACTTGATAAACCTGCTGAAGTTACTGTTGGTGAATGAAGGTTGATCTTTGACAGATTAGATACCAGGGCTAG